GGCAGCAGCATTGCCAATGGCAAATCAGAGGTGCACAAGTCAAACAGTTCTGACAGCAGCAGCACATGTGACTCCTGTTCACACGTCCTCTCGCTCACGTGTGATGACACCGCTCACTCCTGCAGTCGCTCCAGTTACTATCTGAACCAGGCCGACGGCGGCGGCGAAGGGTCCAAGTGCAACATCAGGGCACCACTACCGCCGTCACTGTCACTCTACCATTCCTCCATCAACCTCAACTGCCACGACCAGCTGTCATTTCCCAAGGGCAAGGGGTTCTGCAATGGTAGTAATGGTGGTGGTGATAACAACAGTCATCTGCAGCAGCAGCAACAACAACAACATCAACATCCACATCACCACCAAAGACATGGCTCCATTTGCAATGCTAATGCTGTGGAGTGTCAATGTCAGTGCAGTGGTGGATATGGCGTTACCTCCACGTGCAATAGATCAGTACACCGAGCTAGCACCATCTCCCGTCTGTCCACTGTCAAGTGTGATCACAGTCTGGCAAAACTGACTAGCTCAATTCACTGTCCACTTTCCATTGGTGAGCAGTTCAGCAGCAATCACCATCTGCCACCAACTCAAGCAGCAACAGTGGCGCCTTCACTGCCCAGTCCGTCCGACACGCTCAAAGCCTACTCTCCGTCTGCCGTCTCACTGGCGTCGCAGTGCACTGCCAACTTTATTACCAGCGACCGAGAGTCCATCTTTTCGCACTCTAGCCAGGGCAGCAGCAGCAGCAGCAGTGGCTGCAGCTCACTTACCTGCGGAGCCGACCAGAGTGGCTCAAATGGCTCCAGTGGATCCTCGTCCACAACACAGCATCATCATCATAATCATCCCCTTCATCAATGGAGAAGTCAAGTGGCGCCTACTACCACTGTCGGCTACGAATCAACTGAGGTGGGAAATGCTACTGCACTGCGACACATTACAGTCACAGTTGCAGCTGACCCAGTGCGGCAGCAAAATCTCGACGTCGCTGATAGCTCTCCAAGTGGAGTCATCTTTTGCCAGTCAACAGTCCGTGATGGCTTCATCGGCGGCAGTGGTTTGTCGAGTAAGCCAAACAGCACTAACGATGGCTCCCACTGTGAGGTACTGTATGAAAGGAAGGGGACAAATAGCATAGAACAGAGAAACAACAGCACCATCATCGCAACCACTAACACAACCGCTGGCATCACGCAGAAGTGGTCCCATTTGTATTCACAGATTAATTTCATTAAGCAGCGGAGCAGCGAGACGAGGCAAATGGCAAATTATGACATTCCTCGAAACTTGTGCGTGGTAAGTGATAATCATTCATCGGCCATAATAGAGCTGTTAATCTAAATTAATTCAACTTGTCCTTTCTCTTCTTCTACTCTCTCCTTCGTTACTTGTTTGTCTGTCCATTGTCGCGCTCTTGCGCCGCAGAATGTCGCCTTCTCCAATCAAAAAGCCACTGAAACAGTGGCGGGCGAAGCGAAACCAGCCTCGGCAAGCACTGCCATAAATCATTGCTATTGTGATACGGCATCGGCGGCGGCGGTGGCCCAGGCAGTGGTCCAGTCGACCAGTGCAGGAGGAGGAGGCAACAGTGAACAACAACGGCAGCAGCAGACACGAGACCAGTGCTTTTGCAGTGCGGCTGGTGCATTGAATGCAGATTCCATCAAGCACCACGAGTTGGCTGCAACAGCATCAGTAGTCAACGGGAGAAGCATATTTGGCCGCGCAGCTTGTTCTCAGTCCAATTGCGCCCACAGCGACAGCAGCACCCTCATCAGGCGGCACACAAAGCCTGCACATCAGCAGCAGCAGCAGCACTTCCTGTCGGCGGCTGTGGCTGACAATGAAAGCAGCGCCAGTGCTGCTCATCAGTGCTGCATCAGTTACCAACAGAAAGACACCGACCAGCCCCAGATGAATGGATGTTGTGGTGGTGGGGGTAGTTGCGGTGCTGCTCAATGGACAATCGACAGTAGGGTTCCTGGCGGGTGTTGTGGCCAAAAGCCAGCCAAGCACGAAACTGTTCCACAGCCCAACTATGCAAACATGCAATTCATCAACTCGATTGAACTGTACGAGAATCTGCGCTTTACCCAACCGGCTTTGCAGCAGAATCAGCAGCACTCGAACAATAGCAGCAGCATCAATGGCGACCGCATCAACCCCGGCAGTGACAGTAACGAGCAGAGGCACTCAATCGTAGGTGATGAGTCCATTATCAGTGTCGCATCAGGCAAAGAAGAGGAAGAGAGCGAAAAGCAATCATCGAATGGTGTCTCCTCTGCCTCTCCTAACCGTAATTGCCCGTCTCATCAAATGCTCAATCGACAGGAGGAGCAGCACCACTGCGCGCCTGTTCCAAATGGCGCAGACAGTAGCAGCGGCAGCAGTAGAAGTAGCAGCAGTGGTGTCGGTGACGAATTGCTGACAGACTCCAACGGCGGCGACAATAGTGGCCACGACTGCGAAAGCGATGCCATTTCAAAGAAGCAGTCAAACAGTGCCACTGAAAGCAAATCGATGAATGACAGTCATGAGAATGGCAGAAATACTCTCTGCCAAACGGCAAGTGCTTCTGCTGCTGATGTCGATGCCGATGCTGTCCCTTCATGCGACATCGAGAAAAAGTGCTGCACTTCTACTGCTAACTGCGACGAGCAATGGGACAGTGCAATGGAAAGAAATGGAGGGGGAGGAGGAGGAGAAGAAAGAGAAGGCCGATGTACCCGACTAAATGGAAACAACTCTCCGACTGGGCTGAACAGCAGCACCAGCAGCAGCACGAGCACCCGAATCAGCAGAGAACGTGCTAATAATGGAGGTCATTATCTACGCCATCATCATCATCACTGGGTAGATGATGGGCAACTCGAGGATGCTCGCAAAAATGTTAACATATCATTATCATCACTGCATAATCGGACCAGTTGGAAGCGAACTACTGCTGGAAACTGCCGCTGCTCTCCCAGTGAAACTGCCTGCTGCAACTCATGCAGCCAAACCAAGTGGAGCGAATCAAATGCAATTAGACGGACCCATCATCTACGATCAAATAGAAGCCAAAGTGGATGGAGAAAGGGGGCAGGAGGAAGTGGAAGAAGAAGAAGAATGCTCAGTGATCGCATCAGTAGATCATACAGTCTCGAGGACTTTGCAACCAGCGACTGCACCAGCACCGGCTGCCAATGCTCATCATCATCGGGCACTAGTGCACTCGACAAAGCTGACGGGCGGCCACCGTTACGGGAACTACCACTTCCACTTCTTCTTGGTACTTCTTCTTCATCTTCTTCTTCTGGTCACATGGCCACCAGGCAAAGTGGACGATTTAGTTGCCCAAACCTGGAGCAGCTCGATTACCAGCAATTTTACTGCCACCACTTCCACTGCCATTGCTGTTGCTGCTGCAGCACCGAAAACTTATCCGAGAACTTCTGCACCAGCAGTCAACAGCAGCAGCAGCTCACTGTGGCAGTTGAGCTCTGTCAGCCTCAGACTGAAAGTGTTTGATTTATGTCTGAGTTGCGGCCACCGCGCGAGGGTAGTCAGCGCCCACTTAGCTGCTGCTGATGCCTGCTCAAAAAAGAGTCCAAAGAAGACTGCAGAATCACTTAATGCGGTGCATGTGTGTGTGCTTACTACGACTGGGCACTGAGTTTGATCGCATTTCCGTTTCATTCTCTTTCTCCCTTTGTCTGTCGCTCCAGATCGGCCCCAGTTTCTGCGTGAAAAAAATGATGAGTAGCGTTTGCCCAACAGAGTTTGCAACTAACAGCAGTGATGATGATTGGACGAATAACGAAAAAAAATGTGAAAACGGGACGAAGAAGATTTGATTTACTCGATTACAAATCGGTGCAATAAAGCAAATGCAAACAAAGATATCTGTGTGTCTGTGTGTAAAATCTTGTCTGTCGTCTGCTCTGCAAATAATCGGCAAATTGATCGGGTGTGCATGAGCCACCAGCTCTATCCTTCTCGATCGATAGTGTGTTTCATTTTGCATGTGCAGATTTAACTGTCTCTCTGTGCCTTGGGCTCGCCGAGATTGCCAATTTGGTGCGCCCTGCAATGGACCCGGGTGTGTCTCCCTTTGGGCGCATTATCAATTAGTGCAAGTGCGTGCTAACAAATGCATAAACGCACATACAGTCGACCAGTGCTGAATGTGTGTGGACAGCCGCACATAGCACCACTACCATCACCATCGTTCAATTTAGGATCGATTCGAAAGGCAGGCTCCAACAAACACTGCTGACTTGCTTTCCGCAAAGGCACTTTTTGATTGAACCGCAACTGTTAGCAGAACACGGCTTGTTTGCTCTACCAATGCCCGACAAATGGTCGGTGCCAATCTTCGACTTGTGTCAGACGAAGCAGCTCGCCAAGCAGCTAAATCGATAATCAAATTGAGGCAGACACTCCACACACTACAAGAAGCAAATCCTCTCAGCGCCTTTTAGCGCAATTGATGGAGTGAAAAAAAGTAGTAGACAAAAAAGCGGTCTTAGTATTGGAAATGCAAACAAATGAATGTTAGAACTACTAATCTAGTCGAGAGCTGGCAGAGATATTGCAGAGATAGGACATTGCATGCGTATAGGGGACTATTTGCCGAAGCACTCTACGAGGATAACGGGAAATGGAGATATGGAGAACATTCGCTTTCAAAAGTCTTCGTAGTGCCTATGCGGCAGTGAAGAGTCCACGTAGTTGAGCCAGAAGTTGGCACAACTGCAGTGGTACCGAAAGCCCGCAAAGAGAAGGCTGCTCATTGGCGGCTGGCAGACGTCGGAACAAATGGAGCAGGGATCACATGGAGATAAGCTGGATGCTGCTACTGATGACGATGATGCTGACTCGGTCACTGGACTTGGAATCAGCGGAAGAGGAGGAGGAAGAGGAGGAGGAGGATGAGTTGGATCGCCACTCTTCTCTCTGTCAGGCTATTTTTAAATACAAAAAATAGAAATAAAAAGATTAACTATGATCCTCACCGACATACGACAATCATTGCCTACATTGGGAGAAGATTTGCCAACTAAATTGAGAATCATATGCCATTTGTTGGAGGTCTCTTCAAATACTGCATTGCACATATCGATTTCCGAAGCATTGTTCAGCACTTGCAGGTTTCCACTGATGCGCTGTGCAATGGCAAAAACTTCCTTCAAATCTGCAACATTGTGTTGGGTTTTACACACTTGATCACGTCTTTAACTTTTAAAAATAAAAAACTTACCATTCGCAAAGTTGACGCCATCTTTTGAGGCTAATGCCTCCAAAACTGACTCTTCGTCGTGGTTGATCAGGAGAATATTGAAAGTCTTTTGCATTACTTTGCATATAGCCGTCAGTATTTTGCGCTTATTAGAAATGGCTGGTACAGTTTCAATCTTCTCTTTAGGCGCTAAACTACTGGCAACTTCTTCTTGCGTTTGAGTATCACAGTCCTTTGCTGAATGAGAAAAGAAGTCACCAAAGTCGTCCGACTCGTTGCTTTGAGTGTTTGTGGTTAGAGCCCGTAGAGAGCGATAACGGTCGCTCTCGGAGTCTTTAACGGGTTTATCGGCTTCAGACGCTGGAACACAAATGCTGGTGTCAGATGATGATGGCAACGGTGGGAGGTTGTTGGAGGATGGTGAAGCTTCGTTCAGGCTGTTTACTTCGTCAACTAGTGACAGGTTATTTACTTCACTTGACGGACCTTCACTGCCATTAGATAGATTGAAGTCATCAAATACTGCATCAATACTGTCGGGTGATGTGTCTTTTTCTTTAACATTTTCATCGTGTGCAGCAGGTACCACCGACCTGTCAAAATGATTTGCAGGAGTAGTCTCCAATTTAAAGTCACCTCCTAATTTGGTAACGTTATTGTCTGCAGGGGTAACGAAATCGGCCGATTTAAAGTCGGCAAAGTCCTCATCAGTATTAGAAGGCTCAGTTAGTGTGATTTCATGGGAAGATATTGCCGACGTGGAAGACGCCTTCACTTGGGTGTTTCCTCTGAATGGATTATTATCCTCTGAGTGCGGTAATTTAGGAAACTGTGGAAGGGGAATAGAGGTAACTTTATACAGCTCATCCACTGGCTGTGGGCTATTTCCTTGAATGAGGCCAATTAGAGCGAGCATTAGAAAGAGCTCTTGTTTCGTCAGTTGACCTGGTATTGTGCGATTGACAAAACCCCACAGTTGGGCCAGAACATGGCTGGGCAGATTTGAGAGAAGCAGCACCTGGTACAGCTTGTCTCGATCACAAATGTCTCCGGAGGAATTTTCAGGCTTGGCAGCGTTCCACACTTGCTGGTAAATGGCCGGAATCTCATTGGTCATGAGAAAGCATTGTGGAATAGGCAAACAATTGCTCTGGTGATGAAGTTCAATGATCTGGGGTGATGAAGTTGAACTGGCGACAGTCGTTGCTAAAGTCAAATTAAAAAATTAATAAAGTTCAAAAGAAAAAATAGGCGAAGCCTTACCTGACTGCTGAGAACTTCGTTGTTGTGGCACACAAAGCTTGCTAATTTTTGCATCACTGTCCACCTTTTCGAGAATATTGCGAATCAAATCATCTGCTGAAAGGTTGTTTTTCAGAGTGATATTTTGCAGACGTTGCTGTTGTTGTTTGTAAAACAAATCCTTCTGCTGCTTCTTTGGATTTTCTTCTGAGTTCTCCATTCTTTGCAGTCAAAATAAGCATTCTTCAGATTAGTGCAAAAGGTGACATTAGATTTTAGCTGATTCACTGCACTATTTCCAAAAGTGACGAAAGCTTTTCAAGTATTGCAGGTTTACAACAAAGCAAATGTAAATGCAAGTCAGATTTTGTTTTCAAAAGGCGCGCCACATAATCAGCTGATGTACGATAAGCTTTTCAAAGTAAGTTCAGGTGATAATATAAACAGCTGTTATCGGTTTGCTATATTGCAGCTCGGTTGAAAGTGGTGAGATCAAAGAGAAAAACAACAAGTATTTGGCATGTTTGTTAATTAAGACGATTACGTTTGCTTAAATCTTATCAAGTGTGTGATTCTGTAGAAAGCAGAGCGTGTAATCTGGATCATTGGAAGTAAGAATCGGAAAACAAGCCAGTTGTTGACATGTCCAAGTTAGAGACTGTGCGAGTGTTTGCGAGTGGAAATAGCAATGGCAAGCAAGATTGCTACGATTTCCAAACTTGGAACTCGATGGCCGGTGAAAGGTAAATATCACTTTGAAAACTGGGGTTTTAGCTCAATACCTACTGATATCTTTTCTTCCTAGGGTGGCCATCTTCAACAACGACCAAGTACCGTTCTCTTTTTAGCCAAGCATTTAACGGACACCCATATGCTCGGCAAAACAGCGTCCCTTTTGCAGTAAGATTTTTGTTTGTTTACTTGTTGGACCACTTGTTTAAACTTTGAATTACAGAGAAATATCCGCAAGTTTGGTAGACCACTACTAACAAACCATATTGGACGCATGATGGATGGAGAAAATGGTCAACATCTTTTGATGTCCACTGAAAACGGTGGCTCTGATCTTGATTTCACGGAGCTGCATGAGGTGATTTCCAAACTGAAGCTCATTATTCCCCTTGAATACGCGTCTGATTGGGATAATGTTGGACTTTTGGTTGAACCTTCGGGAATTGTCTTTGTGAGGAAAATTCTCCTGACTATTGACTTGACAGAAAAGGTTCTGGATGAAGCGATCGCCGAGCAAGTGCAACTTATTTTTGCCTATCATCCGCCGCTATTCCGTCCGTTTAAACGTTTAAC